ACTTGAAGAGGTGTTGATGGTGAGGAGGGTGATCTCATCGACTTTGAGTATGAACGCGGTGAGCTCCGTTGAGTGAGAGGCAGCACGATTGGTGCCAAAGAAATAATCTTTCACCGCTAAGGCAGTTCCGAAAGTGAATCCTAGAAACCTAGAGAAAGTGGCTGTCGTGCAACAATTCACGTTAAGCCAACTGTCAATAGAAATCCTACGGTTTCACCAGTGACGAACGATTCCGATCAATGTCAGCTGGAAGTCGAATAAACTTCTACAATCTGGCGCTGTTATGGAAATTAACTTGGTGCATGCATCTTCATTAACATTCAAAATCATCAGTTCATGTGTCTTAATAACAAAAAGGGATTCATCTCCTTTTTTCAGTTCAAAAAAAGAGAGGAGATAACTTTTTTTAATGAACCTTTAAAAAACAATAATATTTATTTTAAGCTCATAATAATTTCCAACATCTTGGTGTTCATTTTTCATTACTGTGGCTCCCTAAAAGGTTGTTGGCTCTGATCTCAAAGACACAACAGTTAGTGCAAACACTTAGGATATAGAACCCTGTGTAAGTATGCATAATTGTGATTTGTGAATATATTTCAATTACATCTTTTCCATATCGACTACTTGACTGTGAAGTCAACTTGGCTGCTTCTGTGTCTCGAAATCGGCTTAGTTTTGATATATATGTCTAGAACTAATAAGATATGAAAACAATAGTTTCATATATATATATATGATGATGCCACGTCACTAATTAGATAGAGCTGAGAGTGACACGTGTCTAGGCGAATGAAACTCTGCGTTTTGTTAAATCAGTAGAATCATGGGCTTCAACGTGGGTTTTGGGTCCCGACAAGTCAACTATTCTGGGCATATAAACTCCGATCTAATCAACAATAGATCAAAACCTGCAACCGAAATCCTAAATTCACCATAATAGATTTAGAGAAACGAGAACAAACCGAACGGTAATTAGAGGAACTTGAAGAGGTGTTGATGGTGAGGAGGGTGATCTCATCGACTTTGAGTATGAACGCGGTGAGCTCCGTTGAGTGAGAGGCAGCACGATTGGTGCCAAAGAAATAATCTTTCACCGCTAAGGCAGTTCCGAAAGTGAATCCTAGAAACCTAGAGAAAGTGGCTGTCGTG